CCCTCCCTCCCTCCCTCACTCACTCACTCACTCACTCCCTCCCTCACTCACTCACTCACTCACTCACTCACCCACTCACTCACTCACTCACCCGTCACTCTCTCACCCTCCCATTCCCTCACTTACTCACTCACCCACTCACCAATTCACTCACTCACTCACTCACTCACTCGCTCACTCTCTCACCCTCCCATTCCCTCACTCATTCACTCACCCACTCACCAATTAACTCACTCACTCACTCACTCACTCACTCACTCACTCACCAACTCACTCACTCGCTCACTCTCTCACCCTCCCATTCCCTCACTCACTCGCTCACTCACTCACTCAATCAATCAATCACTCACTCACCCTATCCCTCACTCCCTCCATCCCTTTCTCACTCATTCCCACACTCACTCATTCCCACCCAAACATTTGTTGACAACTCCATTCCCGTTTCAATTTCCCGTTTCACTTTTTAACGAAGTTCTAAAAATAAAACGCGGCTAATTTTCAAGGTTGGGGGACCCCTAATTCAAAATCCTCCGCTAATGGAAAAGAGCGTGGCATAAAGAGGAAGACAAACAAGCGAGGATGGAATATCTGCACGTCATGATCGCACCAGACGATTCGCACAATGGCGGCCGCCTTTCGTCACTTCCGGAGACATTGAAGCGAGGGAAACGCCCCTCTTAAAGATAGAGAGTTAGGGGGGATAAGTCACACGAGATTTCTAGCTTTAGGATGAAATAAACTTTCGGCATTCTTTCTATCTATCTGTATATCTATCTGTTTATCTATCTATCTCTGTATCTATCTATCTATCTATCTCTGTATCTATCTATCTATCTATCTATCTATCTATCTATCTATCTATCTATCTATCTATTATAACCATCCTCATCATCATTATAATTTTTAATCGTAGGTTTAAAACCCCTGTCCACACATTTTAGATTAGTTACGAGGCGGGCGGAGTCGACCATGCCTGTCAAGGCCAAACCGGGATGAGAGGGGTTCAATGTTCCTGCAGACAGATAGAGATTCTCGATAAAAAATGTCCCTCCACAGAAATCGAACTTATGTCTTCTTTGTGCAACGGCAAAGCTTCTAACCGCTGCACCACAAACGTTGTTCCGTTGCATAAAACATGTAATAAAAATGATTTTGTGCAATGTACAGAAAAATTATTCCTGTGGAAATGTCTCCGTTAAAAGTGGTCTAGACATAATGTAGCTCATTTCGAGGGCGAATCACCCGGTCCACGTCAGGATATCGGTCTGCGAGAAACTGTTCCAGGAAATACGAGGGAAAATGCGTCGGTCTCCGCTCAAATTTGAACATCGATCTTCAGTGTGGCATATGAAATCCACTTTCTATCTCGTGACCAACAAACAGCGGTCGACAATAGGAGAGACAAAAAATGACCATGTTATTATCAATTTAACAATGACAGGCTCATCCGTACGAACAAATCTTGTTGTTCTGAAAAATGATGGCTCTATTTCGTCGAGCTCGTTGGTCTTGCTTTACAATGTATATAGTGTTATTTTACACGTGTAAATTGCTGCTTGAAAAACTGATTTTTCTACAATGTATTTTTGGATACCTCTACAATTCTTACTTGCAAAGAGTAAAAACTGCTGTGAACTAACCTGAAACATCCAACTTGCGTCTCGCTCGCAGTTGTGAACATTGTAAAACTTTAACCAAACTGAGCTCATGAGACATTAATATAAAGCTCTGCTTCAAATCGTCAACTGGTAGGCGTTCTTGAACTCCGGTCGCTTTGCGACGTTTTGGCTTGATCCTATCGGAGATAAACATTACATAATTTGAAAGTTCAGCCTTTTAAATAACCTAACAGTGTTGAAAGAGGCGTTCAATTCATGCACGTACGTAGGCTATGTACTTCTTCCTGTTCTGCGTCAAGAAACCTAGAACAGCTTGTTAGAGGAAGGGAGTGATTTAAGGTCAGCATTTCTGGCCAATTAGTATCATGTATAGAGGTGGAAAATTCACATCACCCTCAAGACTTAAACCTCCCAGATATCTGCACTCTTGCACGTAGTATCCTGCCTTAATTGTGACTGACTTAGCTCTTTAGTCAGTCTCGACAACCAAACTACTTTCTTCATTGTTCCCTTTCTCTAATTAACCCATTCTGTATGGGATTCATATCTATCTATCTATCTATCTATCTATCTATCTATCTATCTATCTATCTATCTATGTGAATCTGTCACTCTCTATCTCTTCCTCAGTCTGTTGACCAGTCTGTTTGTCGGTTTCTTTTTCTCTCTCTCTATACCTATTTATTAGTCTTGCTTTCTTCCTTCCCTTCCTTCCCCTGCCGCCCCCCTCCTTTCTCTCTCTCTCTCTCTCTCTCTCTCTCTCTCTCTCTCTCTCTCTCTCCCTCTCTCTCTCTCTCTCTCTCTCTCTCTCTCTCTCTCTCTCTCTCTTTCTCTGACTGCCCGCTTTTCACCCTCTCCCTCTCTCCCCCTCCCTCTTCCAT